CCATAAAAACTCTCTTTGGCTTTGATTCCTTATAGCATCTCTGTCTTTGAGACTGTTTTGGACAGTTTGTAAATGCAGAGTTTTGTACCGTCTAGTTCTTAAATTAGCAGTTAATACTTCACAGTATAAAAACTAGCAGAAAACAACACTCATGTTGACCTGTTTTGAGAAATGTATGAAAGTAAACCCCAAACTATCAGCGCAGTTTTTCTAAGTCGATCATGTCCAAGAATGGATTTTTTTTTTTCATGCGAGATGTGCAGTACCTTGTATAAAGCACATCAAGATCATACCCATGTTGATGGCCCCTCACTGGCAAAATCAGAGCTTTGAGAAAATGTGTTTAAAAGGGACTGTGTTTTGAGGTGAAATTGGTTAATCAAGTGTTTCTGGCTAACTGAATTTATCTGCTTTGTGTTTCTGTGGTAACCTTAGTGATACTAATTGAGAGTCGACGAAGAGAAGTTTAAGTGTCATTTAACAAGCTGACCTTTGATTACTGCCTGCTGTTTTACAAGGGGCTGATTGTATTTGTATCAGAACAGGTCAAGAGCTTTGTCATTTATTACTGGACTCTAGGGTTTTGTAGAATAGAGAAGCATTATTATTTCAAATTAATTTGTCAGCTTAAATTAAATTCATAAATTATTTTTAAATGAATTCATTTATAATTTAAATACATATTAAATTGTAAAAAATATTATATTTTATTTGTCAGAGCATGAATCAATAAATAGCTATAGTTGCTCTCATCATGATTTGTATGAGCTTTTACACAAATTCGCAGGTCAACTCAGCTTGCCAAAGAGACGTGCAGTGAAACTTCATACTTTAATAAAAATGATTTTGAAAATCAAAGGCTTGACTGAATGTATATCATTAGAAAATAGTTTTTTTCATTTATTTATTTATTTATTTCAGAGAGAATTAATTTGATCAACCGGAGTCTGAAATTTAAATTTAACAATGTAATGCAACTATTTACATTAACTTGACTTGACTCTGATTACAAGTTTCCTGGAAGTCATATTTTGAAGGATAATAAAATTTCAAGAGCTGAGATGATCAGATTTCGTTTGAGGTCATGTGCTATGCTATGCTATGCTATGACTGTTTGTGTAGGCATTATTTATGTAATTCTGAAATCAAAATTCACAGATCCAAGCATGTGTAAAGTTCAGGGTGCTCATGACAAACCTGTGATTTACATTATGAATGAATGAGGCATTTGTATAGCGCTTTATTGTGTATTGCTGTACACCCAAAGCACTTTACAATCATATGGGGGGGTCTCTCCTCAACCACCACCAGTGTGCAGCATCATGTAATGCAACTATTTACATTAACTTGACTTGACTCTGATTACAAGTTTCCTGGAAGTCATATTTTGAAGGATAATAAAATTTCAAGAGCTGAGATGATCAGATTTCGTTTGAGGTCATGTGCTATGCTATGCTATGCTATGACTGTTTGTGTAGGCATTATTTATGTAATTCTGAAATCAAAATTCACAGATCCAAGCATGTGTAAAGTTCAGGGTGCTCATGACAAACCTGTGATTTACATTATGAATGAATGAGGCATTTGTATAGCGCTTTATTGTGTATTGCTGTACACCCAAAGCACTTTACAATCATATGGGGGGGTCTCTCCTCAACCACCACCAGTGTGCAGCATCCACCTGGATGATGCGACGGCAGCCACAGTACAACAGCACCAGTGCACTCACCACACACAGGTGGAGAGGAGAGAGAGATAGAGCCAATCAAGTGAATGAGGATTATTAGGAGGCCATGATTGACAAGGGCCAGTGGAGGGAATTTGGCCAGGACACCGGGGTTACACCGCTACTCTTTTTACGAGAAGTGCCATGGGATTTTTAATGACCACAGAGAGTCAGGACCTCGGTTTAACGTCTCATCCGAAAGACGGTGCTCTTCGGCAGTATAGTGTCCCCGTCACTATACTGGGGCGTTAGGACCCACACAGACCACAGGGTGAGTACCCCCTGCTGGCCTCACTCACACCTCTTCCAACACCAACCTCGTTTTCCCAGGAGGTCTCCCATTCAGGTACTGACCAAGCTCAACCCTGCTTAGCTTCAGTGGGCAACCAGTCTTGGGCTGCAGGGTGATATGGCTGTGGATAATTAATTCTGAGCCCACTCAATGTAATTAACACTGAACTACCAGGAGCATGTAATTATTCTGTTCAAATGGCTTTGTTTCCCTGCATAATGTCTATGCGGTGTTCCACACAAAATATATATATATATATGTATATATATATAATCAATCACACAATAAGTAATAAAACTCAACCTTTGTTTTCATGAAGGAAGTATCTTTTAGTCAACTTAGGTTTTTTTTTTTTTTTTTACTAATTTAATTTTCCTTGTAGGGCTGTCAATAGTTTTATATTTAAATTGTATATATAATATTAAACAATACACCTTTTTCATTGAATAATATTTAAATACATTTATTTTCATCTTTATTTAAATGAATTCTATGCATTTCAGTAAACCTTCACATTTATGTATTTTACTTCAACTTAGTCGTACGTAACAGTAACAAGTGCAGTGAGCTTTATGCATAAGGAAAATATGCTTGTAAATTATGTAGGCTTGTTTTAAGTAAGCTCAAAAGCTGACCATAAATATGTTTAGCCTTTTTTGTGCACTCTCTTACTTCTCTCTCTCTCTCTCATATGCGCACATACAGTTGAGCACAAATACATCTGCACCCAAATATTTCTGTTTGTTCACACTGTGAGCTGTGGGTGTCCTCTGCATCATTCAGTCACTCCACTGCACTGGTATCACATGTAGTTTGATGCCAAACATAAACAACATAATGGGGGCTGAACATCTTGTTCTTGATTTTCAGTACAAAACGAGTTCTGACAAATATACAGGTGCATCTCAATAAATTAGAATGTCGTGGAAAAGTTCATTTATTTCAGTAATTCAACTCAAATTGTGAAACTCGTGTATTAAATAAATTCAATGCACACAGACTGAGCCAAATAAACAAACTTCATTCCGTAGGGTGGAACCTCATTTTCAAATGGATATGTTTACGGCACGGTACTGAGAATGCATTATTTTGCACATCCGTTTCTGCGATTTGAAAAGACATCAAGAGCAGAGCTGCTCATTTCCATTATGAATTATTCAGCAGCGATATCCCCGTTCGTTCACCTGTTATTTCCGGGCCAGAGGATGAACAGACACGGTGACATGCTAGCTTGAGTTGTTAGCTCCAGTGTGTGCGTGTGTTCTGCTCCAGTGCCATGGAGCCGGATGAACTGTCCATTGCTTTTGTGAGTAGAAGATTAATAGATGTGTGCTTGTTTTATCTCAGTGAACAGCAGACATGATTGTGAATAGAGAAACAAATTCAACCATGATTTGATAGGCAAAGGTGCACAAATCCATACAGTAAAGATTCAAATGCTATTTGCTTGACAAACAGAGAAAAAAGTTATATTGTACAAATAATTGATTTGTTAAATCAAATGAAAAATTGTGTTTTTGATTGGTCCAGACGCTACAAGTTAAAAAGTTACTCAGAATCATTCAGATTCATTTTATTTCTTATTTGTTCACTTTGTCTGTATGTAATTGTTTAACATCCAAAATTATCAAAACCAAGCTTTCCAACACATCATGTTTGTGCAATGTTTAGATAATTTGAGACCTTGTAAACAACAGACTGACTGAAGATACACAAAAGATCTGGTGAAAACAACAATGAATTAAATTGTTGCTCAGTGGCTTCCATTCACATCTGTGCTGATAAGACTCTCACAGACCCAAATTAATTTCTAGTTCATGCTGGTTTATTCTGGTTTGGTGCTACCAGCACTGTTTTAAAGACACAGTATCAAATGAACAGGATAATTCAACTTTCAAGCACAATGCATTCCATATACAGGTGCATCTCAATAAATTAGAATGTCGTGGAAAAGTTAATTTATTTCAGTAATTCAAATCAAATTGTGAAACTCGTGTATTAAATAAATTCAATGCACACAGACTGAAGTAGTTTAAGTCTTTGGTTCTTTTAATTGTGATGATTTTGGCTCACATTTAACAAAAACCCACCAATTCACTATCTCAACAAATTAGAATACACAATTAAAAGAACCAAAGACTTAAACTACTTCAGTCTGTGTGCATTGAATTTATTTAATACACAAGTTTCACAATTTGATTTGAATTACTGAAATAAATTAACTTTTCCACGACATTCTAATTTATTGAGATGCACCTGTATGTGGTACTTCAAGCTTGAAATTGCTCTGATGATAGAGACATTCCTATATAAACATACAAGTCAGAGGGCATTATTATTATTTTCTTTCTTTAATAATATCATGTAGCTTTTTGTTTAAATTATTTAAGCAATATCACATTTTTTCCAAATTATAGTTCTTTCTGAATTATATTATATTATATTATATTATATTATATTATATTATATAAATAGCCCTGTCTGTGACAGCAACAGTTTGTCTTCCCTGATTTATTTACATAGATATCATCTGAAGGCTTTGATCCTTTGTCAGCGAGAAACCTAGAAATATGTGCTGTAAATTAAATGTGAAGGCAGTTTGTGTTGAGATGAAAGAACGAGTGGATGTGGGAGCATTTGTAATTATCATCATCCACCAGTCATTGAGCAATATGGTGTTTCAAACCTGTTTATGGCGAAGGTTTTTTTTCCAATACCTTTAATTCCAGTCATGTTATTTTTGTCTTTTTTTTTCATTCTAAAAAAAATAAATGTATTTATTCATTTATTTAAAGAATGACTAAAAAATGAAATTTAATTTAAACATTAAAAAAAGAAAGAAAAAGTTATGACCCTGTACTCTAATAATACTGTACATGTATGAAATTAATGTTTTTCTTTTCTTTACTTTTCTTTTCTTTTCTTTTCTTTTTTCTTTCCTTTCTTTCCTTTCTTTTACTTTCTTTTCTTTTCTTTTCCCAGCTCGCACTTTGATCCTGTGGAATCAGACATCTAGTCCCACCAACTCTACAGGTCAGTTTACAACTCAGGTCTTTATCTGTAAATATGACAAATTGCAAACAGAAACACAGTGTTTCAGCCAGTGGTCATGACTCTAATATTCCCAAGAAAATATTTAGTTTAGTCTTTGAGCAAGTGAAATTACTTCAGACGCTGCAATACATTTTGGCCATGATATCATGCACTAGAGACTCTGTTTTTAATTATTGATAACAAATAGTAAATTCAGAACTTGAAAGATGTAGTGTGTCATTTTTGTGCCAATAAAATAACCAGATAAATAAAATAGCCTGCTTTAAAACAGGTTTCCCAAAACACAACCTATGTCCACCATCGGTTGGTCAAACAGATGGTCCCAAGTTCAAATGTATTTTCTTTCTGCGAAAAATGTACTCTGAATGCAGTGGAATAAGACATATATGTGAAAGTCCCCAGGGAGATTAAGAACTCTTAAAAACATGTTTTAATTTCCGCTGGAGCCCCACAGATCCTTTTTGATTGAAAGAACAATGTGTGGAAAAACTCTGAATTCTGAAAAAGAGGCTAATTCAGATGATAGGAGTGTGTCCTGCAGCTCACACAAACACATAGAAGAAAGCCACAGAGATGAAGATGGATAAAGAGATTGAAACCATCTTCATGAATCCCACGTGTCTCCCATGCAGCCATAAGCCTTAAGCGCTCATGCTAGAGCCTCTGAATATGTTTACTCTCCAGTTTTTTAAGAATAAGCATTTCTTTAGGAAATGTGAGACTCGATTGTTGCCCAGATACCACTTAGAAGATAACCAGTGTTAAATGATCTCCAGCGAATGTAATAGGAAACACTTGGTGCTGATTGACTCAATTTAAAACGGTAGGTATTGATTCTGTGCACGTAGTGGAAAGCTCAGCGCGTTTCAGTAAATATTGGAACACCACTCACAAATTTCTGCACATTATCTTCTGTGATTGTTTAATAAATATTTTATCTAATCAGACTATGCTTTCAGCTGCCAGTAAGTAACACTGCATTTCAACAGTACACCTTTTCTTTTGGCACTTTTATTGACAGTGATTAGACTACCGGTCAAAAGTTTGGAATAATGAAGATTTTTTAAATGTTTTTGAAATAAGTCTCTTATGCTCACTAAGGCGTCACTTTGATCATAAACACAGTATAAACAGTTGTGAAATATTACTGCAATTTAAAATAACAGTTTTCCTTTTTTATATATTTTACCACAAAACCAGTCATAAGGGTCAATTTTTTGAAATTGAGATTTATACGTCATCTGAAAGCTGAATAAATAAGCTTTCCATTGATGTATGGTTTGTTATGACAATATTTGGCAGAGATACAACTATTTGAAAATCTGGAATCTGAGGGTGCAAAAAAATCAAAATATTGAGAAAATCGCCTTTAAAGTTTTCCAAATGAAGTTCTTAGCAATGCATATTACTAATCAAAAATTAAGTTTTTATATATTTACAGTAGGAAATTTACAAAATATCTTCATGGGACATGATCTTTACTTAATGTCCTAATGATTTTTGGCTTAAAAGAAAAATCAATAATGTTGACCCATACAATGTATTTTTGGCTACTGCTACAAATATACCCCAGCGACTTAAGACTGGTTTTGTGCTCCAGGGTCACATATATTTTATTACTCTGATGGAAAAGCTGAATTTTCAGCAGCCATTACTCCAGTCTTCAGATCATGATCTTTCAAAAATAATTGTAATATGCTGATTTGGTGCTCATTTTTTATCAGTTATTGTTTTCTCAGTTATCAGTAATGGTTCTATTTATATTCATTTGAAAGCAGTTGTTGCTCCTAGTTATCGTTAGCGTACTATATACATTAATATAGTTTTCATTATGGTTGTTGGTGTGTTATTTTTCAACATACAACCTTATGAAAACAGCTGAACTACAATCATGCTACTGAATTATACAGCTAGTTAGCAGCATCACTACTTTTAATTATGATCTTCTCTTTATTACTTTACAGGGTTATAGTTTACTAAAACAAAACAAAAAAAAACATTATTCCTTTCTTTTTTCATTCTTTTGTCCTTCCTTGCTTCCTCCCTTCCTTTCAAACATCTGTCCAGTTGTTTTCTTTCTTTCATGTCTGCCCTTTTCTCTTTCTTTCTTTCTTTCTTATATTTTCCTATATAATATATTTTCTTATATTTTTACACAAATAAAACCTATTAATTTAGCCAATGAAGCACAATTAATATTTTTTTCTAATGTAAAATATTATGAAAAGAGCTTAACTACAGTCACACTGCTGAAAAATATAGCTAGTTCTAGCGTTAATTGCTGCTTTTAGTTATAACTTCATCAGGTTTCTTCACATGAAACATACTCTAAAATACCATCAATTCCAGCCAAGAAAGCAAAAATATGTGTGCTTGTGTTTCATAATCTATTGCTTTAATCTAAGTCGTTTTTCTCTATCTTCCTCTGCCTTTCAGGTTTGTTCTGTAACACTTCGATTGATGGCATTGGGACATGCTGGCCCAGGAGCAGTGCTGGAGAAGTGGTGTCCCGCCCCTGTCCGGAGACCTTCCTCGGAGTCCGATACAACACCACCAGTAAGTGCTGAGCATCTCACATCGAATCGCTCTTTCACGCCTGTCCCATCTGGACTGCTCCGTCTGTTCCTGTTTATGACAGCACAAGCTGTTTATTTATTTATTTTATATATCTGTTTTATAGAAGACCTAGTCACTCGACTCATACGTTCTTGCATCTCTTGTCAAGCTGATGTTGTTGGACTTCAAACAATGGCAGGTCTTTGGGGATATTTTCAAGGCCTGTGACGTGTCGAAGTCATGTTTTGGATGAATGTATACATCTGGCACTGCTTGATAGGAACAGCAGCAGCCTGAGTGCCATAATGGAGCTGACAGCTGAGAGCTACACTACATAACAAGCTTTCAGATTCATGTGTGCGTGTGTGTAGGACAGAGGGAGGGAGTGTGTGCGCCTCTGCCAAATTGGCCTGTGTGTGTTGGGCTGCATGTAGGTCAGTTTTTGAGCTGGTGCATGCTACCAAGTTATGTTTTACCATTGCTAACAAGCTCACTAATTGTTCTGCCAGTGTGAGTGTGTGAGTGTGTAGCTGTAATGGGAGAGACTCACTGCTGTGACAAAAGTGTTCCAGTGTCCCTCAGAGACAAGTTCTAAATGCTCCCTTTGGGTGGAGGTGTAGTTTTTATGAAATTTAACATTGTCTTCTTCCATTCATCTTTCCTTCTTTTTGTCTTCTCTTTATTCCTTTCTTTCTTTTGTCCTTCCTTCCATTCTTCCTCCATCCCTTCCTTTCAATATTCCTTCCCATTTTATTCTTCCTTCCCATTTACTATTTTTTTTCTTTTTTCTTTCCTTCCTTCCATTTATGTTTTCTTTCTTTGTATTCTTTATTCTTCCTTCCTTCATTCCCGTTATGTTTTCTTTCTTTACGCCTTCTCTTTATTCCCTTTTTATTTTTTACTTATAATCCTTTCTTTCTTTCTTTCTTTCTTCATACCTTCCTTCCTTCCTTTTGTTTTCTTTCTTCATGTCTTCTCTTTATACCTTTTATTTTTATCCTTCCTTCCCTTCTTCCTTCCTTTTATTTTCTTTCTTACAGTTGTTTTTCCTTCCTTCTTTCTTCATTCCTTCCTTTTATTGTTTTCTTTCTGCTTTCTTACCTTCCAAATTGGTTCTTACCTTTCTTTCTTTGAGAGAGGAGGAGATAAAGAGAATGAAGTCTGATGCCAAAGTTATTGTTAAAGATGAAATATATGAGAATACGGATGTGCGGCCAGGGGACAGATATAACTCATGAGTAATGATTTATTTGCACTTTTTTATCCTTAATAATAATTCATTTTTCTCCTGCACCTGGAACAAAGCTTAGAAAGATAGTGAAATGTGCAATAAAGCAGGTGTTAGGAACATTCTTGCTGCCACTGGATTGCACTGTGTGTGTGTGTGTGTGTGTACCTGTTTTTCTATTCTGGTGGGGACTTAAACCTGAATACACACAGACTCATGGGGACTTGTGTCACGGTGGGGACCTAAATTGAGGTCCCCACGGGTATTACCCCTATGGAGAGTCCCCACAAGGATAGCTGACCAGACATGTGTGTGTGTGTGTGTGTGTGTGTGTGTGTGTGTGATTGACATACTTTGTCATACATATTAAGGAATGGCCCTACACCCATAGATGCGTGGCTAGTTGATTAGTGTATTAAGATTCACTAGAGCTGATAGCATGATTGATTTTTAAGGTCCCGTGGCTGCAGCAATTTGTAGAGCTTCAGGCAGTGTGCAGTGCAAATCAGGAACATATACAATATTCACAGTGCACTGCACACAGTTTCTGCTCTTATATTGGCCTTTCTCATGTTTTTTATTCCCCAGTGGAATGAAATATGTGTGTATTTAAATGACAGAAAGAAAACAAGATTGAAAGATTTTTTTTTTTTTTGTACATGCTTTTTTGTTAGTATTGATTTTTGTAAAATATTTATATATGTTGGAACTAATTTCCTAACAGATCATCAAAAAAGCTGAAAAAAAAAATATATATTCTCTTCTTCTCATTCATTTGAACAAATTTGACCATCACTTAATCCAAGTGGTCTTATTGGTTAATCAACAAATGTTTTGATGTTCCTTAAGATATTTGTTTATGTTTATTGTCTGTTTGTAAAGTATCAAACACTGTTATTAAGCGTTAGGTCCCGTGGCTGCAGCAATTTGTAGAGCTTCAGGCAGTGTGCAGTGCAAATCAGGAACATATACAATATTCACAGTGCACTGCACACAGTTTCTGCTCTTATATTGGCCTTTCTCATGTTTTTTATTCCCCAGTGGAATGAAATATGTGTGTATTTAAATAACAGAAAGAAAACAAGATTGAAAGATTTTTTTTTTTTTGTACATGCTTTTTTGTTAGTATTGATTTTTGTAAAATATTTATATATGTTGGAACTAATTTCCTAACAGATCATCAAAAAAGCTGAAAAAAAAAATATATATTCTCTTCTTCTCATTCATTTGAACAAATTTGACCATCACTTAATCCAAGTGGTCTTATTGGTTAATCAACAAATGTTTTGATGTTCCTTAAGATATTTGTTTATGTTTATTGTCTGTTTGTAAAGTATCAAACACTGTTATTAAGCGTTAGCATTTTGTCAGCACAGAACAGGACAGACTGCAAGGGAGATGAACCAATCAGTGACTTTGTGGAAATTAGGTTTTTCAGAGAGATTAAAGAGGTGGATATTAGATAAATCAATAGCAAACAATCAAGATACATATTACAAATCAATGAAAAATGTTACAGTACTGCAATGTACAGTCATCACATTACAAAATGCTCTTGCGTTACTCAAACAAGCTGACACAAAATCCATAATGTTTGTAATATCTAATGACACCACCTGGTTTTCCATTCTGCCAGTAGAATAGAGTATACTGTCAGTACTGTAAATTATATTGACTGTTAGAATTGTAGGACATGTACTTGCCCATCTTCATGATCTCTCTAATAAGCTTTTGCCCACAAAGTCATTCATTCTTGCACACACACAAACACTTTGAATGTACATGGTAAGCATATATTGTGGTTACCAGATGATCAGATTTTCAGGCTACACGCACAACTGAATATGTGTAAGTATACCAAAGGATTTTTTAATGAACCATTAAGATCAGTTGGATAAATTATATTTGTAAACAGTTAAAGAAATGAGGACAGGCGCAAATGAAAAGTTTAATGTTAAGTACATTGTGAAAGTGTATAGTATTTCACAATGTAGTGTATTAACTGAAAATATGCTGAAAGATTTGAGAGAAAAAATAATGAAAAGTGTACTGAGAGTACTGATAGTTTTGAAAAGTGTACTAATAATTAATTGCAGCAATGCAGAGTCTTTTTTTCTCTCCGTGTAGCACATTTGATTGAGTGAAATGACATTGAAGGCTTTAAATTACTTGAATATAATTGTTTCTTTTCTAAAGATCATGCAGGGTGACACAGCATTATTTAACATTAATGAAAAGAATGTGCATTCATTGCCATGGACAGCATTGAATTATCTATCAAATTCAGTAAAGAGCTTTGAACCCAGCAACTGGGCTAGACTTAGGGCTGCGCGATATGGCCAAAAACATTATCACGATAACATTTTTTAATATCAGTCGATATCCATAATTGTCATGATAAATGCCATATCTTTATTTCTTTCAAGTTTAAAGGCAGATTTTTGTTCCTAAGTGAAAGTTGTAGAAAGCAGACCATTAAATGTGGTTTTAAACGACTCTTTATGGTCAGAACATGACAAACACTTCACGTTTTTGAAATCTTTAATGAGTGATATTGTTTCAAATCATGAAGCAGGTTTGTGTGCCTGACTTTGATAACGCGTATCATCAGCACAGTTTGCAGTGCAGGTTTCAATATTAATAATATTAAATTTTTTTCTCTTAGAAATGCACACTTGACAGTAGCTTGAGATGCAGATGTAAATTTATGTTCCTTATCAAAAACAGTAACATCTGTAAAAATTGTACCTCGTTTGTATATGGTGAAATTTAATTATTCTGACTGTTTGAGTTTTATTCAAATAAACGATTGGTCTTCCACAGTAGCTTATTTGTGCATTTATACTAAATGTATTTAGACTACTGCTTTTCATACAAATACCTAGAAACCGTATAAATGCACAAATGCTATGGCTTAATCACAAAAATACTGTAATTATATTCCATTACTCCTTTAACGCTTAAAGACCTAGAACATTTTTGGGGCACCTGACACGCCTGCACCTTTCTTTGTTTTTTAAGACCTATTCTAGCAGTCAGCATCAAGTGTCATATATCATTATAAACAGGAGAACTTGAAGTTTCAGTCTAGATAATTTAAAGTCCCAGTTTTCCTTTTGTTTTCTCTAAGAATGAATGAATTTCCAGAATTTTAAGAAAAACGCAAGCAACAATTGGGTGTTTTTTACTGTGTACTCAAACAGAAACTCCTTCATATTACTATATATACATATATTACATTCATATACTATATATACTTCATATTACATATTACTACTCCTAACATATTTTATTTCTTTAGAAAGTTGTATCTGGGTGTTTTACACGTCCTAATAAAATTTTGTCTACATATAACATTCCCCAAGCAAGTTATAGCCATTTATTACAATATTGTTATAGGCGCTTTTCAGTGAAAAACAGGTCTATTTAGTTTATTCACAATATAGATGTGTCCAAAAAACATTCAATTGCACAAATTGTCTTCTGCAACAAAAATACAAACAGTGCAAATGATTCACAAACTACACACAAAATGAGTGAGAAATATACAGAGTGCAACAGAAAAAATAGTGAAAATGATCTTTATGAACTATATAAGATTATTTACATAATATGCATAATATATAAATGATTGATCCGCTGGCTGTACTCTGCGTTGGAATCGATTTTACCGGGACATCGCCTAGCGACGTGAAGACATAAATTCCAGTTCTTTATCCGATATGTACCGTTGTTTCATCCTTGGTTTTGGTTTGTTTTATGTCAAAGTACTCAGTCGTG